CATATTTGCCAGAGGGCGGCTTAATAATTTTTTAGACTTAACGTTGATTAAAAGAGATAGAAAATAGATAATAACATTATTACTTTTTAGACTTAAACGGACAAGGCTGTGAAAATAACTCATTTAATAATATCTTTGTCTCGTGCATCGCACATGGTACGTACTAGTTTATATAAAGAGAGAATCTATTTACCAAAAATAGTAACAAAAAAGTCAACCAACATTTATTGCATTATATTTTTGGCAGTTTTTGAATTTTCTTTTTAAATTATTTCCAAGAAATCAATCAACTATATATGTACCATAAATTCATGGATTTTGTGAATTTAATTTAGGTAAATTTCGATTGATGCATACAATTTTAGAAAAGTTAAAATTCTTTCTCATTATATATATATATATATAAAATCATTACCATGAAATTGTGAATTTTTGAATTAGGTAAAATACTATCACATATAACTTTCTCTAATTGCAACAGATCAATTGTTAAAAAAAAAAAGGATTTCATAGAAATTGGATTAATTTAGGTAAAATTCGGCACAACAATTTTGTAACAGTCAAAATTTTCGCATTTTTTATAACAAAAAAAAATGTTTACCATGAAATCGAAAATTTCGAATTAGGCAAATACTATAACATGTATCTTTATCTAATTGCAATAAATCATGTTTATTAAAAAAAAATTGGATTCCATCAGAATTAAACCCAATTTCAAATTAAAAATTAAAATTTAAAAATTCATTATCAATTGACTACTACTTTCTTTAGTTTGTATTTTTTTTTTAAACATAAAACAGAGTCAGATAATATTAATTGAAATTTAAAATGAAATCAGATCGGAAAATCTTAAAAATTTGGGTTTTGTTTAATCCTCTAAAATACAAACTTGAAATGGATTGCATGCACTTACACAATTTTTCTCTTCCTTAATTTAAGTAATTTACAACTTTAAAATAATAAAGCTATAGATTATCAAGAAATACGTTTTACAATCTCCGTTATATTTGACTATGCATTCTTCATAAAACCGATATAAATCATATCATATAATAATTTAATTGATTTATTTAAGTCTATCTAGAATCCTAATACAATTTGTAGCGATAACCGATATACCAAAAGAACAAACAAATAATGTTGTGTGCAATGATGTGTTTAATAATATATAATGTTGTGTGCAAGGATGTGTTTAATAATATATATGTTACATTTTTTTTTTTTCCAGTACATGTATTTTACGTTCTTACAATTATCCAATCATCCAAATCTAAATTCTTACCTTAATAAAGTTAGTTCGTGCATCGCACGGATACCGCACTAGTATTCATATAGAAAAAAACTCTATATTAAGTGTTAGTCCCACTATTTCATTAGACATTTTTTTTTTTTTTTTT